AAGTACTGATGAATTTCCTGCACCCTGTAATATGAAGATATTGAAAATGAAAGCTGTGAGTAAAGATTTATCATAAACTACTAACAACATGTATCTTAAATATTTTCATTTTAATTACGTTCAACTTGAAAATCTAAATTCCACTTAATTTATTTTTCTATGCAAAATGCCCACAGAAATATTTTACAGAAAGACATGCCATGGTTCTCTAAACTAATCTAATCACTGCATGCTCCCTGCTAAGAAATTAATGACCATCTTACCACAAACGGAAACCTGGCTGGTCTTCTGAATGCAACGGTCTCCCCTCCTGCCCCTGGTTTTTATACTGCATTTGCTGTGCCAGCAATGCAAAAGTTAAATATGGCTTACACCAAATATGGCTTGAGTCCATCTAAGTTAAGGAATCAATCAGATAAACCATTTGGTGCTTGCGAAAATGGCAACAGTAAAGATGTAAATAAATAACTTCCCCTTTTGGATATGTTGCTAATTTGTTTTTAGAGTTCTTTAAAGAAAATTATTTCACTAACCTCTAGCATAATATGTACCAACAGCTGTTGTGTACAACATGTTTTTATCTTCAAGTAAAATAATTTATGAAGTAATTTGTATGTATTGTTTTTAGAGATTTACATTGAGATCTTTAAAAAAAATGTATAGAACATGTTTGGCACATATGACACGAATCAGGGGTAACACTTTGAATCTTTTTTAGGCTTACTGGACCATACATTTTTTTGAATACATTATTATGTGTGAAGATGCTTATGTATGGTGTAAAATGCTATTCATAAACATTATTAATAAATACACATGATTTTTCAACTATTTCAATTGCTAAAAAGTTAAATAAATTATGTTTATAATGTATTTAACAATGGAATGCAAAAAAAGGCAAAAAAAAAAAAAAAAAACATTAAGTTATTAAACCACTATCAAGTTTAGCTATTAAACATTTATGTTATTTATGTTTTGTGTTTTAGATGTTTCTTCTTAGATCTAATATCTTAAAGGGGCAAACTTATTTCTATTTATGTATAAATAGAATATTAAATATTAACAATATTAAAGCAGTTTAGTATTTAATGAAAAGCTATTGGCCATTATATATATAGTATATATATTATATATATATATAGTTATAGTTATATATATATAGTTATATTTTTTGTCCCTCTATCTTTCAATAGGACAGTTTACTTTAAGTGACTTACATTTCTGACTCAGTTGTAAGGAATAAAGTATATCACAATTTGGACTCGATAGTTTATATCTCACAGTTCTGACAGTTTTTTTCCCCTCCCAATTCCTAGTTTATATCTTTGTAATACTGCTCTTCCTAAGCAAATGTGTTCCAGATCTTTAGCATTTTACATCTGACGTTTCCCTGATTTATGGAAGTCCTAAAAGCATGCAACACTTGTATATAAATGTCTTTATTTCTCATGATCTTGACAAAAAGTTATTTTCTCGTGATCTTAGTTGCGATCACGAGAAAACGAGAAAATAAAATAATGAATGGCCTTTTAGGCTTAAAAACACCTCTCCTGAAATTGAAAACTCCTCAAAATTGGGAAACGCCCCCCTTTGTTGTTCCGTAGAAACCTGTACTTGAGCTTTCACTACTGATCATGATGTAGCCTATGCCAAAAACTCTCTTGTCGAGTCAGATTTCGCAGTCGGGCGAAGTTGCTGTCCCCCATATAAAAGGTCCTGACTAAAGGTATGGGAAAGAAATTTAGACAATGCGGTTTAAGCACTCAAACACTGACCGTGCAATCCACGTATGAATTAACGTTATTGTTGACATCTAAAATAATATAATTTAAATTACCGATAGGCTACTTTGCTGTCTTGTTCATATTCATATAACAGTTTAAATTACATTCAATTTATTAGCAACAAACACATAGAGTCACGCGATATCCGCCTTCGATCTCGTAGATTTCTCAAGTGAGAACTGTCTGTCTTGACTGGATAAAGTGACCGACCACCTACTCTCGTTTACATTTAATTTTAGTTTTGATCACCATCCAACCAATGGATGATCCTTCACAGCCTGCGAAGACAGGAAAGTCACACGCTTCAGTAAAAATGAAGTGAGTGAGATAGATTTGCTCACATTAACTTAATAGGTTGTTATGCCATAATATTAAACCTGCCAGTTCATTCGTCTATAATATCCGTTTGTGCTTGGGTTTATCTTTGCTAATTGCTTCTTTTTTATTACTTGAGACTGACACAGCCATATACAGTAAACAAGATTGTGCTGACATCAAGAGATGCCTTTGGTGCTTGTCCCTGTAAAGAACTATTTATGGCACCAATGTAGTTCACGGTCATGCTGTGAGGGAGCTCACATGACTGATACTGATTTTTAAATAAGTATTTTGATGTGTGCATTTCTTTCAATGTCTGTAATCTGAGTCTCCCTAAAGTCCCAAATACTTAGTTTTTATTTTATTTTTAGTTAAAGTCTTATTACTTAATTTGCCTTTAAACATGTAGTTTTTACATGTGCATATGCAGAACCTTCAATGTGTAAACTGTGCATTTGATAATGAGACTTTACTGTAGGCCATCTTTAAAAGCTTCTATAAAGACTTTTTTTTAAAAGTTAACTAAATTATTTGGCTCAAATAACGTGAACTAGTAATTGAAATTCTCTGATGTAGCTAAAAATGAAGATCACAATATATGAATATAAAATATGATTTGACCTAAAAATGTTTTTCCATCGTTTCACAGATGGAAAAACACTTGCACACTGCTACTGTTTACTCAAATAAATGTATTGTCGTCTTCAAGGAATTCATGTCTCATGTCAAATGAATTCTATCTGTTGGCGAGGGGTGGGATAAATTAGAAAGATTTTTACATAATTGAACAGAAAATACATGTTAGTATGTGTACCGTACACGAAAGGTGTTTTGCAACTAAAATGCACCTAACCCAAGGTCCACTACTATATACTGTGAAATAATTCTAAAATTATTCATTTATATATTTTTTTTAAAAGGTTGTGATAAAAGGTTGTTGTAAACATTTAATAACAAAATTATTGATCTGTGTTGTATTATTTTCATGTTATCACGGTGAAGCTGCTTTGATACAACCTGTATTGTAAAAAGCGCTATATAAATAAATGTGACTTGACTTGACTTGTTGTGCTTGTCAATGTTGAAAGGATTGAGATGGCCAATCAAAGTCTGACCTTACTGTTCAAAGAAAACAAGTGTGAATTCTGACACAGCACAAAGAGTCTGTGGTAAGATGTGACATTTGTAGAATCCAGTGTACAGTGACGCACAGTAATAACAAGTGATTTTGAAACTTTATGAAAATGTCACCATTTGGAATTGAAAATATGCTATTATTTGCATGATTCATGTAATTCATAACTAAACGTGACAAGAAACATTTTGCTTTCTTTACAAATTAGGCATGAGGGAATTTGCATCCATTTTAAAATAAAATATTATTTACAAATAGTTTAAATTGATTACTTCATAACTGTATTAGACTTGGAACTTTTGCCGTTCTTGTTAATTCCCTTAAATCCTTTGATTACCCACCCCCTGCCTTCCAGAAGAAAAAAAAAGTATTTGCCCGCAATTGTTGTATTAAAATTCAAGGTGATTACACTCTATGAATGTAATGTAATAAAAATGGAAAAAAAACATAAGGAATACTGTATGGAGGACAAAAAAGCAATGGAAATAAGAGAAGTTGATTGATATAATGTTTTATTCCAACATGACATCATGACTTTTGCGTAAACATACATGCCACTTTCGAGTCAAGTGGCGTGTTATCTCTACGCATTTTGAGCTATCCGCGTGTATTCGCGTGTATGCGTGTATGTCTACGCCATTAACGTCCGCGACATTCCGCGTGTCTACACGCCGTCAAATCTCCAGTCATAAATGCCATTAACCCCAGTGACGGTTAAGTTTAGGGATGGGGTTGAGGTAAGTCATATCTTTTTCTTTCCTAGGATGGTAAGGGAACAGTCATAAATGCCAATAACCCCAGTGACGGTTAGGTTTAGGGACGGGGTTGAGGTAAGTCATATATTTATATAACGTTAAGTCAACGGCGTTCATAAACACACTGAAAAGCGATTATGCATCTTGATAGCACGCCAAAATTGGAAATATGAATTGGCGTGTCATACACATGCTACTTCATGAGATCAGTCTGTATGCACGATCGCTTCCTGGTTTGTCTCAGCACGCCCAGTTACGTCCGGTGCTGCGTCAGAAGCCGGTTTTGCGTTAGGTGGAGATAGTGTCAAATTACACTCGCTGTTTACAAAAACTTTCTGTGGTTAACGTGAATGATGTTAACAACACTGCGAGGCAGTTAGCTGTCACACATAAGAGTAAAAAAGAGAAGTTATTTAAATTATATATTTCGAGCTATATCAACAACTTTGAGGGTGAGTATTCTCTCATATCATGGCAAATCCAACTAGCGAATCGGTTTCTAAAATCGTTGTCTCCGTTTCTGAGAAAATGAATTTTATTTGAGTTTTGCCGCTATATACTTTGCCTGCAGAACTCACTTGCGGAAGTAAAGAAGCTGGCTGAGATTCTTTTGGACATACATCAGCAGGGTTCGTGCATAGAGCGTATTGCACATTTTGCACCAGAGACAAATGGGAGCTTGTAACAGTGAATGTGAAGGTTTTTACTCGGCTGCCTCTTTGTTCTGAAAAAAAAAGGTATACACAAACAATTTCTAGTGAAATAAAAGCTTTCAATTTTAAGTGTGTTTAAACATTTATTTGAGTAAAATTACCTTTCCAGCATCACGGCTCTTGGCTCTAAGCTTGTTGACCTGAGACTTGGAAATGTCAGCACGCTCCTCAGCCTCTTCCAGCTCACCTTCCTCAACTTGGACAGGTGAGTGTTTGCTTGTTCATCCTGCAAAGTCACATACGATTAGATCAGGAACTTAGTTCACAAGGTGTTTACAGTTCTCAAATGAGATACTCACAGCTTCTTCAGCCTGTCTCTTGTAAGCCTTGACCTTCAGCTCACTCCTCAGTCTGCAGATAATGAACAAGGATCAGACTAGAACATACTCAGATTATAGTGACCTGAATTTTACCACACATTTGTTTTGTACCTGGTAGGTGAGCTCCTTGACTCTCCTCTCATATTTGCGGACACCTTTAACAGCATCAGCTCCACGTCTCTGCTCTGCCTCAACTTCAGCTTCAAGCTCACGGACCTTTAGTTAGTGGGAGATATTAGTAAAATTATTACAGGCGATGAAAACATGTTTAGACTATCTGAAATATTCCAGAGTATTAAAGCAGTACACAATTTATACCTTTCAGATCATAACTATTAACATCAGAATAAAGAAAATCTTACTCTGGACTCCAGTTTCTGGAGTTGTTTCTTTCCTCCCTTCATGGCCAGATTCTCAGCCTCATCCAGACAGTGCTGCAGGTCCTTCACTGTGACCTCCAGATTCTTCATTCTCTCAAGGTGAGAACTGGTGTCCTGCTCCTTCTTCAGCTCTTCTGCCATCATTGCAGCCTTTTGCATTAATACAGAAAGTCATTAGATCCACATTTTTTCAAGTACACAAGTATCTTTTAAAACATTTGGCAGCTACTGTTGCTCAGATCAGTGATGGCCTTCTTGGCCTTCTCCTCTGCATTTCTGGCTTCCTGTACAGAATACAAGGAAGGCCGGCTGTGCACAGAGGCTGATTCTAAATCCCGGGGCAATAGAGTGCCGAAGTTAAGACGTCACTTTGTAGGACAACTCAGAAGTTAGCAGTGCATGGGTTCCTTCGATCAAAAAGCTATGCATTTTCCCCTTAGACTTTTGGAAAATCGCTAAAAAATAAGATCTGTGTTCAACAAAGGGCATATTGCAGGTTAGAGGACCCAACGAGTCAATGTATAGAAATAACGTAGTAACTACATTTTCTTTTAAAAAATACTTATACTGTAAATATGCTACAGAAGTATGCTAAGAAGTTGTTTTTGTGAGAAAATTTACTTCCGTGTCTGAAAATGGGCGCAGCGGGCGTGATGTAACAGGTGGGGGAGCGGTCGATTCAAACAACAGGGAAACAATGGATCGCAGTGACATTTCAGCCGCTGAGGAAATTGTTCATACTTGTATGGCGGACCACAGCCATACAATTATGAGCCTGCTATGCTGCCAAGAGAGCAGGGACAGGCCAGTATTAATGTTAGACAGAACGGTCAGAGTCATGACACTCGTTGGAATTGTAAAGAGAGAATGCCAAACAGAATATTCATGTTACTGACGTCTAATTCCAAACTCCAAATTTGTAAGTATAAAAGAGCAATACCCACCAATTGCATGGTCTCCTTTCTTTCCTCAACTGTTTGTCGATTTTTCTATTAAATTCTTCCACTTCACTGAAATAGTTATCAGAGAACAATCACTGTTGTGTTAACAGAAATATCAGTAAGAAAAGGGTGCACTGGGAATTGTGCAAAAAAATAATTCGTAATCTACTCTGGCCTGTAATGATAATCCGGACCAGAAAGGAAGACCTGCTCAGCCTCCTGCAAGGAGACATTCCGGAGGATAGCCAGGGCATATATAATGGCCTATGAAAAACGTTAATATAAATATACTATTTTACCACTACTGAACAGCAAGCCATTATACAGGGGTCCATACACAAGCAGTGCAAGTATGCAGTTTATACAGTAGCCTACATTTTGTAAGTGCAGGAGGAGGACACAAAAATACATTACATGGTTTGGCATACCTCTGGAAAAAGAACACCACAGATAAACTGCACTTCATCTGTGAAGCTCAACTGTGTTGGTGTCCTATCCAGCAGTCCTCTCAGATATGAGAACAAGATGTCCTGTTGTTCCTCACTGTCAAGTTAGACAGGCACCTGGGAAGAGGTTACCTTATTTAAGTAAGTAACTAAGTAACCACTTTGAGGGCTTCCCGTTGAGTACACCCTGTGGGCAAACCATGGAACAAAAACAATTATTTTTAAGGAATTGATACATTTAAGATAAAGATACAATAATTTGCAGCATAGTTAGAAAATAATGCTAATGTTTTACCTAATTAAGGTCCTTGGTGAATCTTTACTATGAGTTAGTATGTAAAGATAAATAAATGTGAACATTGTTGAAGTACCATCAAATGCTCCTCAGATCCCTGCAATTTTACAATAAAGTCCACCAGTCTCTTTTCTTCTGCAGCTTCAATGTGGGCAGGGACTTTTTAGAATTGTAACAAACTACTGTATTAAAACTGCCATACGTCTCATTCATGATTGCAAAACAACGTAAAAACAACAGGCTAATAACACATTGTAGTTCAACAAGGCATTACATACTAATATGTTAAAATAATGAGCAAGTTTTCACACTAATACAGTAAGCTACAGGTAAATTTTACTCATTTACATGCATATGTCCTCTTTTTAAGTTTAATTAATGTGCTGGCTAGATTTACTTATTATAAAACTCAACATGGATTTTATCATGGCCATGAATTAAGAACATCGTTTATTTTTATTTATTTATCCTTTATTTAACCAGGTAAAAAAAAAACATTGAGATTAAAAATCTCTTTTGCAAGGGAGACCTGGCCAAGATAGGCAGCAAAATTACATCACATCAGTACATACGTACAAAATACACACAAATCGTAGTAATTCACTTAACAAGAACACAAATTCTAAATTCGTTGGAATTAGTTATTAATTCTTAGTTAGCAGCTCTAACTTTGGCTATGTAAAATTTGCTTCATTTAAATGTTATAAATTAAAACTTAACTGAACAGTACTCACTGTTGGATTGGTGTCCATGTCGTCCATCTTAAATTAGTGTTTTTGGTGATCCAGTTCGATAGGGGGCGCTGACACGAAAAACTAGGGTCCTAAAACTGTGGTCCTAGAACTGGGGTCCTGAAACTGCAGCCTCCGGTTGTGCAGGAATACCCTTCTCCTGCAGTCCGCAGATCAGCTGTAAGAATCAGAACAAGCCACATCATCGTGGGCGCCAATTTCAACTCAGCCATGTAGGAAGCGACGGAGAAATACTTACCTGAATAGTTGCATATGTGTTAATTAATGTCGGTGGATTGGTGATCTGCGGGATAAATGGCACCAGTCTAAGGAGCAGAACTTCTCATGAAGGCCTTGGCTGATCAATACTCTCCGAAGACTGCTGTGCCTACGGGGAGATGCGATACTGAACGCGGGAACCTCGACGTGCAGCAGGAGGTAGGGCGGGACATCGTCAGATGTCGATAATTGTAAACAATATGCGTTACCTGGAACATGTTGGCTGGCGACTAAACGAGAGCATCAATGGAAGAGTCAGCATCTGTGAACTCAAACACGTGTAAGTACCGGTCTTATACCGTAAGTATTAGACGCGATTGGATAGATGAGAAGGTAATTAGTGACGCAACAATTGAGTCTTCCTGGCAGAACTTAACGCTAAAGCTTCCAATTTTTTAACACTTTTTACTTGTGTTTGTAGTTCTAACCGAATCCTCGTACAACACGCAATGGGTTCTGGGCAATATCAGCCATTAGAGTGTGCATTGATCTGCACTTCGGATTCTGACCGGATATAGTAGACCATCCGGGTCCGGTCCGGGGCCGTCCGGGAACACTTATTTCAACGACAAACCCTACGGTTTGGGATATACTAATTCTATTTTCAAATACTATTTAGGATGGATAGTATGCAAATTGGGATGCAGCATATCTCCTGAAACTCCAAACTGAATGTCAGAATGGGAAAGAAAAGTGATTTAAGCAATTATGAGCATGGCATGGTTGTCGGTGCCAGACGGGCCAGTCTGAGTATTTCACAATCTGCTCAGTTAATGGGATTTTCACACAGAACCATTTCTAGGGTTTACAAAGAATGGTGTGAAAAGGGAAAAACATCTAGTATGCGGCAGTCCTGTGAGCGAAAATGCCTTATTGATGCTAGAGGTCAGAGGAGAATGGGCCGACTGATTCAAGCTGATAGAAGAGCAACTTTGACTGAAATAACCACTCATTACAACCGAAATATGCAGCAAAGCATTTGTGAAGCTACAATACACACAACCTTGAGGTAGATGGGCCACAACAGCAGAAGACCCCACTGGGTACCACTCATCTCCACTACAAATAGGAAAAAGAGGCTACAATTTTAAGAGCTCACCAAAATTGGATACTTGAAGACTGGAAAAATGTTGCCTGGTCTGATGAGTCTCAATTTCTGTTGAGACATTCAGATGGCGTAAACAGAATGAGAACATGGATCCATCATTCCTTGTCACCACTGTGCAGGCTGCTGGTGGTGGTGGTGTAATGGGGGATGTTTTCTTGGCACACTTTAGGCCCATAAGTGACAATTGGGCATCGTTTAAATGCCACAGTCATGTCCATCCCTTTATGTCCACCATGTACCAATCCTCTGATGGCTACTTTCAGCCGGATGCACAATGTCACAAAGCTGGAATTATTTCAAATTGGTTTCTTGAACATGACAATGAGTTCACTGTACTAAAAAAGCCCCCACAGTCACCAGATCTCAACCCAATAGAGCATGGTGGATCGGGATGTGGTGGAACGGGAGCTTTGTGACCTGGATCTGCATCTTGTGTCTTCATCAACTGCAAGATGCTATGCTATCAATATAGGCCAACATTTCTAAAGAATGCTTTAAGCACCTTGTTGAATCAATTCCATGTAAAATAAAAGCAGTTCTGAAGGCGAAAGGGGGTCAAACACAGTATTAGTATGGTGTTCCTAATAGTCCTTTAGGTGAGTGTATATTGTTGTGTATAATAATTTAAACTAACAACTTCTGCAGAGTTTAAAAAAAAACAAAGCAAAAAAATAACACTGTACAAAGAACATAACCAAGTGGACTGTCTGGACCATGTTTGTGGTTTCATCATTGAAATTAGTTTTGTTTACATATAGGTTTTAATGATCCTTTTCAGTTTTGCTCTGTAATCTCCTGTTAACATATCCAGTTAATCTGGAAATTGTATATCAGACTGACAATGGCGAATACACATATCAGCCAGACATAGCCAGGTGAGCGTGAACACACATGACGTCATGCCCAGTCTCAAATTCCGTCCCGAATCCCATCATTTTACTGTACAGGATTATAGAGGCAATCGCAGTGATCAGAGAAGGGCTCATTCAGCCCATCAGGCAATTGTTTAAACATGTATGGGTTAGAAAAAAAGGTATTTTTAACATGAAATGTTGTGCAATGCACCTTTAAATAGTTTAACACTTTTTCAAAAATAATGTAGCTATGAATAAAAAATATGCTGCTCAAATCAAGTACATCAAGTTCTTAAACTATTTGTTGAGCTGTATACATATCTACTATCTATTAAATGTTATAAATATCATGAAGCATACAATAATGAGTGAGTGAATTAATAAAGAATGAAAAAAGACAAAAAGTAAGATGCTAAATTTCAAGGTTTATTAGTGTCAGTTTCAGAGATGTGTACATGTTTTTCACTCAGCTGCCTCTTTGCCCTTGAAAAAAATAGA